ATTTTTTATTCAATATTGATCACATGTAATTGTTATTGAAAGTCATTTTTACTGTACCACTGGTTCGAGAAAAACCTCTGTCCTAGGAAAAACCAGCAAGAATCCCAGTGGGGCTTTAAAAACATATATTTTACAATATGATTGGTTATAAACTATTTACAAAATTTATTTTAGAGACAACTTTGAAGCGACCACCTCATTCCCAGGGTTTATTATCAACCATGTATTCATTTATATTATAACCCTTTTTTAAGTTTTTAATTTTTTTTAGGCAATCCTTTTTTCTCCTAGAGTGACATTTGTAAGAAATGACAACTCTAAAAAGAACTATGACTGGATATAATTCACAGCTGCTGCATAAGATGCATTATGTCAACTACCCTTTGACCATGAATTGGTGGTTCTAGAGATTCAGTCGACGGTTTAGTCAATAGCAAAATACTATTTTGGTCCATTTAATCCAGATTGTACATGCTTAAGATTTAATCTTAAGCGTAGAGAAACGACGATTGTAAGACGTTGTTGATAAATAAAATGTTTAATGAAATAGTATAGTAAAAATGGAATTTAACTGTGTACTAATTTTCCGATCCAATTTTATTTTTTTATAAGGTTTAGGATCACTTACTCAGAATAAAATCACAAAATGCTGACAGATCCAGGTGGCGCTTCAAGCGCCATCTTGGAAAAACGTTTTCAGCCGATATCTCTGAAACTATGCACTTTAAGGCAAAAGTTATAGAAACCATTATTGTAGCAAATAAAATTTCGCATCTTTTGTTTCCAGTAAACTTTTTTGTAAAACTTGTTACGATTTATGGGACATTTAATGAAACGGTTTTTCTATCGCAGCCAATAACTCTTGAAATATTAGTATTAGATTAATCAATAAAATGCATAAATCTACTTTTTGCTCTATATTTAAATCTATTATTGCATCTATCACAAGAGCTGCAGATCACAAGCGAGCAGCCCACAAGCAAGCGCGTATGTTCCGCAAAGTGCGACCTTCACAGATTGTCACAAGACGAGCTAATGAGCTACTGTGCGCAAGCGCCAACGGCTTAGAGTGGCTAGATCACAACGAAATTGAAGGAGCAGATGATTTTACTGAAAATCAGGAAGGGACAGAACATTCAAAAAAACACCTCACGTAATTTATGGAAGCCCCCTAATGCAATTGAAAGTGATGTCCCGGGGTTTTCGTGCTCAGTCTTTTTGTAATCTAAAATTGAAACAAGTTTTTAAATTGAGATACATAGTTATTTTTATATCATGTGTTTTTTTTTTTTGAGATAATGAATTCCAACAATTTGCATTTGGCATTTAGAAAATTTTGTATGCGGATTTATTTAATTTATATTGTGGGCATTTTAGTAATTTATAGCGCCTAAGCCCACTTATAAATTTTTGAGAAGTAATTCTGAGTTGATAAATTAGAATTATTCTGTAACACCATGTATGTAAAAGCTTACTCGTGAAAAGCTTTCTCCGATCATTCATCTGCTGACGGATTGCATGCCAACTGTTTCTTTTTACTAAAAATAACAATAAAATTGGATTATGATTATATTAAAAATAAGAAAATAAAAAAAAATATTTGTGAAAAATTATTACAAACAAGAAAATCGAGAAAAAGTCAATCAGCAAAAAGCGTGACCCGTAATAGTATGCGGGATTAGAACCAATACACATCGACGCAAGATACTAACTTAACGCACGGCTCCGCTAGACCAATCGAACTACTGACGGGGTGGTTGAAATTGTGAATGTATAGATAATCTATATAACCAAAATAAGGTGTGCACAAAAATGTAGATACTTTACAACTTCCATCGTGTGTTTTTGTTTCATCGAATAAGATCTCTTTATTGCCCTGCGTTTATTTTTTTTGTTGCCCATTTTTATAATGTATGCATACATTGATTGTTTATTTTATAAATCTTATGTCTAAAACCTAAATCGCAAAAAGTTTAGACCAACTTATAAAAAACTAATTGTATATTTACAAAACGTATCACTGGAACCGAAACCGAATAAATGTTTACACTAACAATACAACTTATAAAAAACTAATCACAAAATAAAATATACACGGCTTTCAACAACAAAACATACGTAAATGATTTTTGAGCGGCGAGCGAAACAGGTCTATCTAGCAGCGCGCCTCAGCGGTCAGTGCACAGAACACTATTACTCCTATCGGAGAAGAACGACAACTTCATACAAAATTTAAGAAATGAGATATATAACCTCTAGCGCCATCTATCGTCAGCCTCCTGCACTTCTTGTGTGGCGGGAAAATTTGAATGTGGTCTTTTTTATTTTTTTTATTTGAGGTATTTTTGGGTTTCCTATCCCAGCGCTAAATAAAAGAACAAAAATTACAAAATTTCTATTTATTTATTCAAAATAAAAATACAAATTGAAATAAAAAACATACATAACTTAAGAAACAATTTCTCCAGCAGCTTAGTTCTTTCTATAAAGACATTTGATGGGTTTAAACATGAAAAGAAAATCAATAATGATTACAACATTTCAATTACACAATAAAACTTAAACAATGATAAAGAATTGAAATAAGATTTACAATCATGGATGAATTGATAATATGCACAATGATTGTCTACAATAACCAAAATATCAATATTTTAATCTAAAACAAGTTAATTAATAAATAAGCTCCTACACACAAGTGCAAAGTGCAACATTCACAAATAATAATTGTGTTTTGATAATATTTGGTTGTCTATCTATTTCCCTGAATTGACACTAAAAATTTTGTCTCTATATTATATGCAATATATTAAGTATTGAATGCAGCTTATAAATAGAATAATTTTAATTCAAAATTATAAAACATATTAAATATTAGATTACAAAACTATTCCTTATTTCATTTTAAAAAATTTCATATAGATATACATACTTTCTTTTTCAGGTTCAACATTATGTGTTATGCTTTGATGTTTGTTCTTCAGTGGATATAATGTTGTCTTTTTTGAAGATCCTGCTTGTGGTTTTGCAGCAATAATTTGCGAGGGACCAGCTTGTGATTCCACAAAATAAAATGGGAATACACTTTGTTAGTCTGGAAATAAATAAAAACTGAAATAAATTATAGTAATGATTTCTTATATTTACGCGAACACTATACATGATTAAAACTACTTTTACGGATTTTATCGACTTACTTTTTTTTTAACTTTTATTTTTAATATTATTAAAAATAAAAGTAAATAAAAAGTAAAAATAAACGCGATAAAATCCGTAAAAGTAGTTTTAATCATAAATTATAGTATCATAAAATTATTATATAAAATTAAATTAACATTATATTCATTGACATTACTTTCATAGTAAATCAGTCCCTACTCATGGCACTACATTACCCTTCTACCAATACAAAATAAATGAATGGATCTTGTTCATCCAACTTGCTCTATAATACACCCACTATTACAATTAATATAACAAAATAAGATAGTAAATACAATAACTATGTGAAAAGAAATCTTGTGTTTATCTAATGTTTGAGAACCATTTGAAGCATGTATTTCTACTGCGTTGTACAAGTTGTGCCTTTAAATTTGATAGGTTTAGGACCAAATGTAATTATTCATATATTGTGATGCCGGAACTTTCTTAAGGTTTGTTGTTGATTTAAAATAAAATTTGATTGTTAAAAATAATATGCAGTGTGTTGCACTTTTAATAATGTAAGGAAAGGCTTGTGTTAACCTTATAGACTTCAATCCTTTGGATGCTTTGTCCGATCCAATTATTATAAATTAGTTGAAAGAATTAACAGGATTCAAACTACTGTATGTGGTCTGTCCATCTATGTTAGATCCAGATGATGGTCATATGAATAATCATCATCTTCTTTACAGTCTATCAAAGTCCACTCCTGAATATAGTAATCCCCATATAAAATATCTGAGTAATCCTTAAAGAAAACTATATACATACCATATTACCATATACATTATACACTTTACTTACATCACATGGGACTGCAGTGCTTAAGAGCTTTTTCTTGGTTGCATCATTAAAATAACCATCATGAAAATGTTCTTCACACAGCATTCTGGGCTTATTATGTAGCTTTGGAAAGCTAAAGTAGTATACTGCTCTTGGGAAGGAATATAATATTTCGCCCATAATTTACAACTGAAAACAAAAGATATAATTATTAAATACAAATATTATCAAAGTAGGTTAAAAACAAATTAATGGTTTACAAACCAATAATTTGTTTTTAAATGGTAAAAGAGAAACAATAAGTTGGACAAGAGATTTACTTTAAGGTTAGAACTTATTAAATAGTGTATATGTATATCGTATACGTACCGCAAAATATACTTTACTGCGAATTTCGGAAACCTAAATAATTTAACGTTGTCAATGGTTGGTATGCTGTTGCACTTAGAACACTTTTTCTATTTTCTTTATCCGCCATTGCAGCGTAGTTTTTAAGAGTCACTATTTCGTATTTCACTACGATTCATTGACTAACACATTGCACATCATATAAATGAAGGACATTAATCTCAACTCAACATCGTAAACTTGCAAAATCTTAGTAAAAGACACAAGCAAAACAAACATAACAACCAATCATGAACAACAATAATTTATACGGCGACTCCATATTATGAGAAAAGAGAAATATATACTCATTTAGGTATTTGGTGTTACCAGTAAAAAATATAATTTTCTACTCATTGAAAATCAAAACAAAAAGAAAACATTTATTTTTCTTTTACTGTCAAGGATATGCTAATATAATAATGTAGAAAAATACGACAGGCATAGTTATCTTCCTATTGATTATTATTTCTGTATTCAAAATTTTTGATTGTAATTTATCTTTAGCAAAACCTTACTAATTATGAAACAAGACATTTATCTGACAAATGGCAATAATAAAATTCAGCCCCCGTAGGTATTTCATTCTGTCCATACAGAGTTGACAGGGCCTGGGTCAGTGCCGGATGCCGGTCAGTGTCGCTCCGCGTAGAAATGAAAGAGAAGCAAAAAGACACCAAGATGGCGCGATGTTTCGTTGGACTCGTTCGAGTTATTAATCATTAAATATGTTAATACTTACAAATATCTTATTTTAATCAATAAATAAAAACAATAGTTCCCTTTATTATTATATATTACATCACTGTTATTAACATAATCAAGATTTGTTTATAAATAATCCAGTTACAATCGCTATAATTTCATTTTTAATGGATTTTTTATGATTTTTTTCTATCGAGAAAATTTACCGAAAACGTGTTTTGAACACAATGGTCCCCCAATATATATGATCAAGATTAACATATATTTTTTGCAGCTCTAAATTGTATACATTTTCCTAAAAAATGTTTTCTGAAGCCTACTTTGACTATGCCTTAAATAGGTAAATTATATCGAGTAAAATTTTTAAATTTTGTCATTTATTTTGTATATTATATTTGCTTATTTAATATAATAATACATGATATTATATCACAATTACATTTTAAAGATATTTTTATCTGAATATTTTAAAAGGTAACTATGTCAAATATAAAAAAACATACAAAATGTATGTTTAACAAAACTTGTTAATATAACATTTAAATTACTATTTATTTAAATTAGAATAAACGTTGTTCATAAATGCTGGGCATGCGAGAGTTAAAAATGGACGAATTTATTCCATTTTGACTTTGGTATGTGGAAACGTAAAAATAAAATAAAAGAATAATGAGCAGATTTAAATATAAAAAATTTGGTCTAATTATGACAAGTTATATATGTTTCTATGAAAAAAATTGTGCATAATAATATATTCGCCCTATACTTAAGTACCTACGCACAGAAATGTCGCATCTGAACAAATTAATTTCATAGTCTTTATTCTGTGACACGAGATGGCGTCTTAGGAACAATTTGTTTTATTATTAATCTATAATACTTTTTTATTGATTAAGTATCTTATTAACCAATAAAAAGTTATTCCTTGGTATTTGCTAACATTACTTGAATTATTTGTGCAATGTCTAAAAACACACCAAGGCATATTTTATCGACATGTTTTTTTTAAATAATTAATTAACACGTGTCAACTGACTAGCGCCTAGCGAGTAAATGAGTAAAGTGCGGCGCTAACGCAGCAATTGAATAGTACAGCGTACTAAATGCAGTGTCGCCTCTACTACGTAGTACATAACAGATAAGAGTGTATATACGGAAAGTACATAATAGCTCATTGTTAGTATTTTTTTATAGAAGAGGGGGCAAACGAGCATGCGGCTCACCTGATGTTGTGACTACCGCCGCCCATGATCAACCGAAACACCAGGGGAATTGCAGGTGCGTTGCCGGCCCTTGCCATGGCCGTGTAGTGGCGGTTGAGAATATCCACTACCCCATATCTTCCCGTGGGTGTCGTAAGAGGCGACAGAGGGAGACAGACTGGAGATGGGTAGCAGCACCTTCCTAATAACAACACTAATATAATAAAAAACTGCTGTTGCCAACCCGCTCGCCAAGCGTGGCAACTATGGCAAATATCCTCCCATGAGTAATGACGCAAACAAACGGCCCCCAGTCCCCGGCGGCCTCGCTATTCCTGGCTACGGTGGCGACCATGGTAACGGCGGGGCAAGGGGTGCTAAGAATCTCCAGTGGAGGTTCGGTTGCCACCTACGCTACAAATACGCCCGGGGAGGAAAAAGGTTTTGTTTGCTTTTCCTCATTGGGTGGTTTTAGAAGGGGAAAAAATTGCCGGTTGTTTTGGTGTTGGGGTGTTTTTTCTCCATTTGTGTGGGGTTTGCCAGTGATGACCTACGGAACCGAGACGTGGTCCTTCACTGCTGGCCGTATGAGGACGCTCAAAGTCGCTCAGCGAGCTATGGAGAGGGCTATGCTCGGAGTTTCTCTGCGTGATAAACTTAGAAATGAGGATATCCGCAGTAGAACCAGAGTGACCGACATAGTCCAACGGATTAGTAAGCTGAAGTGGCAATGGGCCGGCCATATAGCTCGAAGAACCGATAACCGATGGGGAAAAAAGGTTCTCGAGTGGCAGCCTCGTACCGGTAGGCGAAGTGTACGGTAACCCCCCACTAGATGGAGCGACGACCTGGTAAGACATGCAGGAAGTCGATGGATGCAGGTGGCTCAGGACCGTGCTTTGTGGCATACCTTGGGGGAGGCCTATGTTCAGCAGTGGACTTGTGAAGGGCTCTAATGATGATGATACCGGCCCTTTGGAAAGGAGTAAGCTCTTTTCTTGAAGGTCCCCAGGTCATATCGGTCCGGAAAAATTGCCGGTGGTAAACTATTCCACAGAGAGGACGCGGAAGAAAACTCCTTTTGAATATAGTAGGACTCTTTCTGGCTAGGAGTCCGCCTGGGTAGGTTCCACCCTCTTGAACTATTTCTGTCGCCAAATAGCAGTGCTTAACTACCACTGTGTGTCTGAAGGCCTTAGAGAGCCAGTATAATTACTCGCTTTGATGCATTCCATCTTAGACTTCAGATGTCATTTCTGTTTGATTTGGCTGCAGATGTCCATATATTTGCCATAATCACTTACCATCAGGTGTACTACTGTAAGTGCGACACGTCAGTTTTTTAAAAAATAAGTGGAATTCATGTAAGTGTTTGCATCCTAAAGTAGTTTATGATCTTGTAAGTTCAGTTCTTGACATATTGTGTTAAGCTTTTTTTCTTATGCTACACCGGAATCATTAACCATTTTTAAGACTTCTAGCGTTCTAGGGGTGAATAAATTAAACAGTTAATATTTTTAATGTATTTTTACTATAGTTTTTCACATAATGAATAAATTATAATAAACACCCAAATCTTGCACCCAAACCTAAGTCGCATTTCGCCACTGACTTTATTTTAAGGCAAATAACTAAGACTATTTATTGTATACGAGTAATAAAACAAGACACTTTATTTATTTTTTTGTTTCAGCTGGAATTCCGTGGCGCTTTAGTGCAGCAACTTCGTGACGTTACCAAGAAGCTTGGGCTTACTTTGGCTACTCTACACTCAGCTGTGGCACAACTGGACCTTTTCATGGATGCTCATCGACTAAGAGCCGATCGTCTTACACATGTGGCACTAGCTTGTCTCAGTTTAGCGGGTAAGGAGTAAGAAAAGTTGTTTATGTTTATGCATCTTATATCTGTTTCTTTATAACTTTATATAGCCTTAATAGTTATAGATATTTTTAGGACTATGAATTAAATATGAACGACTGTGGACATGGAGGCTTTAAGAGGAGGAATGCGACACGAATACGATGTTCGCAAGCTTGCTTTAAGCGCCTTTTAACAACTGTGTCATACTTTTAATACATAGATCAGCATGGATATGCAATATGGATCTGTGGTGCAATATCCCTCACCGCCACTACCTCATATCATCCTGTGGGTGTCAAAAGAGGTGGTAGAGGGAAACTGAAACAGGAGATGGGCAGCAGCATCTTCCTAATAACAACTCAAAATAACAAAATTCTGCAGTTGCCAAGCCTGGGAACTATGGCAATAGCCTTGCAATGAGAGAGACCCATGGTCAGACAGATTTTTGATAGACTGTAATGAATAAGCCTAAATATAATAAATAATCTAGAAAACCTGTCTAAGGGATTATGATCCTTTCTTTTATAAAAATAGTTTGATCATAAACCTAATCCTTCCACAGCAAAAAGTGAAGAAAAATTTAGCCGGGCGCCAACTTTGAAAACATTGTCGAAGATTAGTGGGGTACAGCTTTGTGGAAAGACATTCAGGCAGCTGGAATGGATGGTGGGCCAGCATGTGAGATGGAGGCTTCTGGCGCCTACTCCAGTTACTTTTGCAGCGCTTTTAGCGCAGTACGTAGTCACTGATGGCGATCTAACGACTAGGCATCCGAAGTTTGTGAGGCGCTTCAAGAGGGACGGTGCTAAGTTACTAGAGGCGTATTTGGACTTGACTCTATCGGGTACGTTTTTTGATATTTTAAATTTACAGCCTAGATATATGGCCCATTGCTGAGCACAGGCCTCCTCTCATTTCTGAGAGGATTTTAGCGTAAGGAGGTGTCCGCTGAGCTGCCCCAATAGCGAACTGGAAAAATGGCATAATTCACATCTTTCCAGTTCGCCATCTTCAGAATAATTTTTTTTTCTTATTTCTCAGACATACAGGTTTCCCTCACGATGTTTTCCTTCACCGCCGAACACGAGGTAAATCAGCACTTGGGATCAAACCTGGGTTACTCATATACTGTTAAATTTGCAGCGATCACCAACCATCTGAGCTACAATGGCCTTGAATATTTAGTATCATCAATTATTGAATGTATATAAAAAATAGAAAAGCCGTAGTTTATTTTATACATTCCACTGGTGGGTACAGCCTATAATTATCTTCTGAGATTGTTACGGAGCAGTTAATACGATTTACTATATGTATGTGTATGTATTGTTGGACTTTACATGTCCTTGGATGAGTGAATCGAATGACTTGAGAACATTTTAATCCATAATTTACTTTACAGTGTTTGTGAGTAAATGAGTTAGTCAGGATCGTCCTAGACAAAAGTTTATTGAAAGATGTTATAATTAATTAGCTATGATCTGCGTGATAAAATGAAAAGATGTGTTTTACCTAGTTTAAAGAGCACTATAATAGGAAAGACTTACAACCGTAAATAATAAGACATGTATTTCACCTCTAAACTGGGCATGCTCTTGTGAAGTAGACTCTGCCATGACTGACCACTAAGTTGTGTGCCATGCATTTTCGGAAGTTTATCAACCAAATTGGTGATTGAGCCTGGATTGATCATATTGTGAAATTTACAATGAGCAGTTAGAACCTGGACTAATGCAGCATACATTTTAGCAACTTTAAAAGTTGTTAATTGTTTCTTTCAGATGTCCGTTTAAAAGTGGTGGAGTCTGTAGACGTTGGTTGTGCCTGTGTGGCTTGTGCCAGAGCTGATTTGGGATTATGCGCCTGGCCTGGATGGTTGGCGACTGTTTCTGGAAGAAAAGCGACTAGCGTTGCTCCTATAGCACGTCTGCTGCAGAGGTAAGCTGATAGAATCTCTCCATAATATATTGCACTCAGTATGATTTTTGGTTATACACTTTTTATAACAGTTATGTCACAATCAGCGTAAAATTTCACTTGCTGGTGAGTTGTTACTTATGTCAAATGAAATCTGGTACCAACTTTAAATAAAGAAGGCTACCCATGCATTGTCACCTTTGACAATTAATATGGAATTCCTCACGGCCTGTTAATACGTTGACACTATTGTTTCGGCAGAAATACATAGAACAGATTGGAATAGAATAGAATATTTTTTTATTTAATATAGATTACATGTAATTCTTATTGAAAGTCATTTTTTTAATTTACGTGGGAAGAACTAGGAGAAATCTAGTGGGATATTTTTTTTAAAAAATTTTACTATGTGTATGGTTACAAAGTATTTAGAAAATTTATTACCCACAGAAACTTTTAGACAGAGTAGAGACCCCATCATCAAATCAATTTATTTCAAAAACAAGCTCGAATGTCAATATTAATTTATTTTTATATACATTTAACCCATGTATATTCCAATGCTGGAAATGCGCCTTTCCCATAATAAGAATGATTTCCTCAATCGCCACACATAGCTAGCGGATTGGCAATCGTGATACCGAATGTCTTGCACCTTCAACATTTCTTCACCTTGTCTGGGCATTTCCCATTTGGCTCATATTATGATGGGCTCCCATCTTCCAAGATTCTAAGATCTTGACTTTTTTTATAAAACTAAAGTTACAGACGTACTTACAGTTCACTTGTTAGTATGTGGCTATTACAGCCCGTGGAAACTGGGAACCAACTAAAAGAAAGTATTATGCAGATTGTGTTGTCACATCTGAGGACTAAGATGGAATCTTGTGACGCATTATACAACATATAACAAAAACCCTGTGGTTCCCGTTAAGAGCGTTATCAGAATCAGTATTCAAGCGTATTGAAATAATAAAATTAAAAATTGGTTTTTTTTTTGTGGGGGGGGGGGGGGGGGGGGGGGTGAGCCCTTTTTGTGGGGTGGGGGGGAGAAATAACCTTTTTTTTTTTTTTTAATTAATTAAAAAAGGTTTTCTTTTTTTTTTTTTTTTTAAATTTTTATTTATAATTTTTTGCTTGGTGTTTTTTTATCTCTTTTGGCGGGAGGGGACAACTTGGTGAAGAAGGGGGGTACCACCTATTATATTTTTTTTTTTTTTTTTATGGCGGTTCTTCACACACCCCCCCTGGTGGAAGGTATGCAGCTTTGTTCCCTGTCTTCGTAAAAAGCCTCTTGCCTTGAAGCGCAATTGTATTCGGACCTAAAGATAGACCCCGGAAAATTATTCCACTCGTTTGCTGTACGCATTAAAAAAGTCGAAGTGAACCGTTTGGTTCTAATGCGTGGAACATCGACAACAAAGGGGTGAAGACCCGCCGACCGACTGGTCGTCTCCGATGGTGAAAAAAAATTATAATTTCTATACAATTTATATTTTCTATAGTTTAGTACGATAGGCCAGATATTTATTATAATCATATTTGCTTTGCATATTTATTTATTACATACTAATTTTCATACTTTTCAAATTTAATGATGACTAAAAGGCCGAAAAGACGCTCACGAAGTGTGCAGAAAGTCGATATCCTGTCATGGTTGATGTCCTTTCTTATGGTTATAGCAAAGAAGCGAATATCTGACCTCTCACACAACAGAATTTCATCAGTGTTAAAAAGGCACCATATAAAACATTTCTTACTTTCAGAATGATGCAAATCCTAAAATCTCGTGATGGCAATGTGGACTCTGAAGTTGATCAAGGATACAGCAGCGCTAGGACATCACCGAATCAGACCCCTTGCAATTCACCAAGGTATCAAGTATCTCCTGCTTCAAGCACATGTAGTGCATCAAGCCACATCAACGTTGATTATAGACAGCATCCTATCACAGAAAGGAGGTTAGACAACGCATATTCTGTCCTAGACTTATCCGATGCAAATGCTGCCCCAACAGTGAATGTCCAGGATTATTACCATCTGCCCACAGCAATTGATATGACATGCCAGAGAGTTAACAACCCAGTGGATTACAGATATTGCAGGTCTTCGAGGTTAATTGAAGCTAGTTTAGGTACGGTACAACCGTCTAATATGGCTGTGAAACGTGGCTTAGACACGAATATAGAGTTAGAAAGGAAGAGATATCGGTTAGCGTCTCAAATGTCTCAGGTGGTTCTTTGATTTTTTTGTTACATCTAGTCTTAAAGTCCACATTCATGAATTCAAAATAGTGTTCCTATATAGTTGGGTAATTTAAATATGATAAATACAATGAAACAAATTCGTACTGTAATTACAGATATTAAAGCTAAATAATATAAACATATATACATATATATATATATATATATATATATATATATATACATATATATATATATTAAAATAAATATATTTTAGAAACATTACAGAACCACGGTTTTTTTTATTAAATATTTCCTACTAAACTGTAAAATATTCTGGATACGGTTTGAATTATGATACTAGTAGAATTTTGTTTATATTACATCAATCTCCTTGCAAAGCCTAGTAAGAAACTCCTAACCTCAGGAAATTTGTTTCATTGGTATATTATTTCGGAAAGACTTGGCAATATTTACTAACATATTGTCCACTGTCACATTAAGCCATTTTAGTAGTATATTGCTCAAAATATATTCATGAATATGGACATAAAGTTAATACTTCTTTATTAAACAATTATTTAAAAAAAGTATGTAAAAAGTTTATAATGAACTATTGCACTGTGTTAGGGTAAATTGCCTTATTCCAAAATATGCCGTATTAGTAATTAGAAATATGCAGTGTTAAAAAGTGAACAAGGGAATAGTGTTGCTAAAGAGTTAAAGTTATTGTTAGTATAAAGTATTACAGAAGCGTTATGGATTGTAAGCCCAGCACTATTCCCTCAATTTAATTATATTACAATTGTTATAGCAATAAAAAACACCATGTATAAAAAGGTGTTAATAAAAATAAAATATATTGTGACGGCTTGGCCTTTATCAATTTGACTGATTCAAAATTCACTTATTGTATATCACATGTATACAATTGTAATGTTTGCATATAATGTATGTAGGTGTTAGGTAGAAACAAATTATCACAAACAATTTCACCACATCCTTCAAGACTTAATTAAAATAAGAGTGTCTTAAGTTTAATAAAAGTCACAAGTCCCATATCCAGCAGTATTTACGGCTAATGATTATGATTTTAGAAAATTTATAAATGTTGAACTCAAGGTATTTCTTAACAATTCCCTGTCCGCGAAAAAACCAATAGTTAAACGATCGAAATGTTCATATGTGACTTACGGAACAGTGAAATGGTTAAAATTCTTTACCTGCTTAATTCTAGAATTAGAGGCCTAAAACTAACTGAGTTGAACACCAGTTTATTATTAAAATGTACCAAGTAAAGTGCCTAAACATTTGTAAAATTATGTCTAAATAAGCAGATAACAAAAAAGGGGGATATTTGATTACAAATATTTTTTAATGTACTCTCTCAAGGTTAGTAGTTGTTCCTTCGTAATAAATAGGGTATAATTTCAACCAAATCTACCGAAATTAGCAATTTTTTAATAAGATATACGGTTAACCTTAGTAACCAAGAACAAAAATTTTAGTATTCAAAACCATTAACAATGATCTTTGAATATTTATATACTGAGTGATTTTTTTTACCGTCTGGAAAAAAATAGGGTGTAACAGGTGAACGGACTAGAAGTCTATGGCACTAATATTTTACAATTTTTTTCATTTTGCATTGGCATATGAAATTGATCTATCAATAAATAGTACTAATTTGAAATAAACTTTTGGTACTAAAAAATAACAACAACATTTTTGAACTAAATAAATAAAATTACGCACTCAATTAGTAGTATTTATTGAGAGATCAATTTCATAATATTTTAGTGTAAAATAAAAAAAAATTGCAAAATATTGGTGCCATTGGCTCCGTTCCGTTCACCTTTTACACCCTATTTTTTTCCAGACGGTAAAAAAATCGTGCAGTATATTTTGTTTTTCCGAATGTGCACTGTATTTAGTTTTTAAAATTCACTTACTGGTAGTACAATATTCATAACTTGGTTCATTTTTCCAGCATTATTGCAGGCTGTAAGGCCTTCTATCTTAGTCCTTAAAAGACAACGTTTATTTGTTTGAAATTGGTTACTGGTGGACTGATAAGTTTGTATATCGCTTCTGTTTTAAAAAGAAATCTAAAAGTAATTTATATACCCGTTACTGTTGCAGCCTATTATAGTTCAATGCTGAACATAGGCTTCCCCCATAGAGTGGTATTAGGGGGGATATTTGCCTTTTTTTGCATCTCCTGATTAGTTTCCCTCTGTCGCCTCTTACGACACCCACGGGATGATATGGGGTGATGAATATTCTTACTCCGCCACTACACAGTAATGTATTCAATCGTAAGTCATATTGTTCTTCTTCCAAATAGAAACGAATAATTGTTAGTTTTGTTTACTTAATTAATTTAGATATTGTGAAGATGTGTATTGGTGATTTTGTTTTACTGGAATAATATAAAGCAACCTATATAAACGACACAACCATGTTGTGTAGAGACATTGTTTATCCAGTATCTTTGTATTTTAATTAAATAGACAATTTTCTTAAATAATGTTGATAGCGGCCAAATATCAGCATTGAATAGTTGCCAAAGTGATTCATAATAGTTAACATTTGGTGATTTTAGTAATAGATGGATTCCTAGTTTGTTTGTGCAACATAAAATATTAAGGTGATACATATTGAAACTCTGGGTATTTATATTCCTTTCATTCCATTTTGATTTTATTATTTATGGTATATTATACGGCTTTACATTTAATATAACAATTGAATACATAAACACATTATCATTGTAATAATGCAGGGATTGAAAATCGGTTTCAGTTTAGATAAAAGTTTAACCTTTTTCGCTACAATTTCAATTCTATGTTTAAGGTCGATTAAAATCGATTTTAAGATGTTAGTTCCAAATTTCGACTTTTACGATCTAAAATTAGAGGGTGATCACATCATTGTGTATTATTTCTATCTTTATTTTTATATTAATATTTTGATAATACATAGCCTATGGACAAAGAAATATATAACCACAAGGCTATCGCAGTATTTTGTAACTATCACGATATGGAAACAAGTAAGAACTTCAATCCCAGACATATCTCTTTTCTTTTAAAGTAGGGGTAATCCTACATACTTTTCTTGTAGTTAAATTCTTGCTACACTATTTTTCCCTCTGTGTAAAGATAAAAATCTATTTTATGTATATTTTGGCCCTAAAATTGTTGTTTTGTATTGTTCCCTTTTTGTGTGGTAGTTATTTCCTGAGTTTTAATGTTTTCAGTAAAATTAACACTTTTTTTACTGTTAACATGTGGTACTTTATTTAGACCTTTTAAATAAAGTGCAAATTTAGACTACTGCACGCTGTGATTTCTTTTTTTATTTATGGTTGATTTGTTTTGTCCTGTTACATTGTTCTTTTTTGTTTTAATTTTGTTTTGTGTCGCCAAACATCACCTTAATACTAAACAATAGTAAATAACTATCCAAAATAGCTACTTAATTAGAATGAACTTATTACTGTATGGGTAATACATTAATTTCGTCCCTATTTAATTGTCGAAGTAAGCTGTTTTGGGTGGAGCGTGGTTGTGATTAAAGATGTTTGTTTTAATTTATTTTTTTAACCTAGTTTGTATTTCTAGACGAAATGTAAAGTGGAATAGAATCTTTATTTTTGGTACTTTTCATGAATTTTCAGTTATTTTTATACTTAAAGATTCTATTCCATTAATTTGTATACAACACCCTGTAATGTTACTTTGAAACGGGTTTTAATGGGTCTTGTATTTGTATTTTTATTGGACTGTCGTTTTGTGTTTTTTTTATTTTATTTTTATCTTGCAGAAGTTTGCCAAGATTGTTGTAAGAACTTTTTGTCTCTCATTATATGTATAGTTACCATTACGTTTATTGTAAAATTTCACTGATTTGATTATGTGAAATTGTTGAGCGATGTTAAATAAGAGATTTAAGGCGCTGTTAACAAAATGTACTTTTGAATGCGACCGAACCATTTTTTTAGACAAGACTTCAGTTTTAGTCGCATTTATTAAATTTTCTAATTAACAAGCATTTATATGAAAAAGCTCAAGCATAATATTTAGCTAAATATGCATCTGTAATAGGTTGTAGACTCGTGAGTACTAATAAAAATATATTTCGGCTCAGTCGATACCGTACCCATCACTGATTTTCCTAGGTTCGAATCTAACAAAAATTTTTAGTTTTCAGTTCTGGGTATATAGGGGTTTATCAAATCCTCTTTCATTTAGTTATATCGCAGTAGGAAATGTAAGAGGTCATTTTACTTAATTATTTTTTATATTAATTAACTGACAGTGTCTTATTATTACGAAGTTCTGCAGGCAGACACTAGGTAGCTAGATTTTTTCATTTGCTTGAAGTTAACATTATTATAAGCATACAATGTCATTGTACCATTTCATCATAACGTGAACAGCGCTCAAACGGGGAGGAGGTGGGATGCGAGTGGTTGTGTTCCGTTAGAAACATAATTATTATTTCAAATGTTTCTAATATCGAAATTATAAAGTACAAAGATTTAAGAGAGGTTCTAAGCTGTTGAAGATACACAAGGTTGCGGTTATACGATCATACAGTTAGCATTGTCCCACAAATATCTTGTGATGTATGCGGACTACCCATTTTCATATCAAGGCCGTAAGGGTCTAGAGAAGTATCTTTACTGCTCAAGAAGACTCGACAAAATGCTAAGCCTGGCTTAATTTCTGAATGAAGCAGGTCACATTACTCTAAGGTCTACACTGATCACAACCACCCACCTCCGAAGTATACTAGAACTAAATGCGGCACTTATGTAAAAATTGCTTAATTTTTTTCTGTTTCTTGTATTTCTTTGGAGTTAACATCATAATATGGGAATCTATAATATTACGATACTATATAGTATCCCATATACTATACTATAATAATATTCTTCTTGACGCATATCCTCTAAATGGTATTTAAGTCAGCCTATGGTGAAAGCATTTCCATTCTGTAAATAAATTGATAAACGGTATGATATTTGAGCCCATTATCATTGTATGCCAA